CTACTGAAGAACTGCGCATCACCTCTTCGGACAGCTACTGATTATCATATTGTAACACACCGAACACGCACTATCTTTGCCAAATCAAATTTTTAAAGTTCACTTGCAATTTACCATGAAGTTTTTGAGTCATCTCAACATCCATTCTTAAGTATAAACTGAAAACCACATTTACTGGAAATATTCTCTCAGAGGTGAAATGACACATGCCAGATCCCTGACCTATAGGCACTTGATAAAATTAGGTGATGTCTATGATGCATGCAGTACAGCTTCTGGAAAAAAAAAAAAGAAAGAAAACACTAATTGGAAATTTACCTCCGCCAAGTCCAGAGCAGATTAAGGAAAACAGCATTGATATAGCTTCACAAAGCAGAGAACAGAATTCTAGAAATCAGCCTTACAAAGTGTTTTAAAACTCAGCCAAAATACCTATATCTTCATTTGGCTCTCTTAATAAAATTGAGTTTTCAAAGCGGTTGAGTGTTTGGAGTTTCTGTGTGACTTTGTGAGGAATTATTTGTTTACCATTTTGAATGTTGGAAAGGATGACATGATCCTAATCTCTTTTTCAGTGGAATATTAATAGTAACTATAATTAACTTGGTATTTTTCATCCAGCTGGGCTAGAGAGTTTTGAGAAAAATACTGCAGCGGTCAACAGGTGAGCTACTGCTGCCAGCAGCTCTTCTTGAAGCATACAGGGCAAGAAAGGGGAGGCTTTTCTAGCTTGATTTTCTGCCTCACACTGTAGCAGCAGCACCAGTGACTCCACTGAGGATCTCTGGCCTCGCTGTGCTAGGTGGGGGCTGTGCTTTATTCCATGCTTTTTCCCCCAGACAGTTCGCAGCCTGGGGAAACAACTTGAAAGAGAAGTCTAGTTTGCATGTCTCATTTCTCCTTTTAACTTATATGGAAGCTTACCTATGCTCTCTTCCTGTGCTGTATACCCTTGTGATCTTTTAAAGTTATTTTTGTAGGAGGGAAGAATTCCCTTTAAACCTTTTCTAGAGGGATTGTAGATTTTTTTTTTCTCATTTAGTGCTTTTCTGTTGAGTTGCATAGTAAGTTCCATCTCTCTGTGGATAAGTATGATGATAAAAATACACAGGTCTTCACACTATCCCATTCTTTTGTTGTTCTGCCAAGTAACAGAGAAGGTGACTTTGTTATCCAGAGAATCACTTTGAGGAATTGATTGGGTTGCGTGTGATAAGCTCTCCAGCACTAGTTTGCCAGCATCAAAGCACTGACTTTTTTTCTTTTTTTTTTCCGTAATCCCTTGGGCAGATGTCATGGAAAGATACAGGCACCTTTTTGTCAGTACTAAATGACAGACGTCACTTAGTAAAACTTTGAATTGCCTTGCAAAATCTTATAACTCTACAATGCACTAAATCATGATGCAGATATTTTTGAACATTTTGAGTAACATAAAACTACTCCTGTAAAAATTTCTGCATGCTGAAAAACCATATTTTGGGTG